CCCCCCCAGAACCAGCCCCTCAGCCATCCCATCCAGGAAAGCCACCCAGCATCCAGCTGTGATGCAGACCTGGGCCTCCTCCCTCACACTCACAGGCGGGACCAGCCGCTTCCTCTGCCCTGGTCTCCTGCAAGTCCCCACTGGGCCCCACGTTCTCCCCAGCCAGCCAGTTAAACGCTTATACAAGTCAGACCCTCTCACCTCTGGAGTCCTCCCCCTGCCTCTGTCAGCTCCCAGAGCTCACCATGCTTCCTGCCCCTGTCCTCCTAGAAATGCTCTTTACCCCCTTCCCAGAGCCCCACTCTTCTTCCAAATGCTTCCAGCTTCTTCAGGAAACACCGCTGTTTGTGCACCTGGCCTTCTGGTAGCTTCTCAGCAAGACATCGCCCCTGTGTATGAGTGGGTGTGTACGTGAATATTCCCGAGACAGAAGCTCCCTGAGCCCAGGGACCCTACTTGGGTTTTGCCCCTGCAGGGTGCAGCCTTTGGGTCACACAGGAATCCCGGGGGCACCTCGCAGTGCACAGGGACCATGGCCTTGACCTTGCGAGCCACCTGGTGTGTACTGCTGCACCCTAAGCCCCACCATTCTGGCTGGGCTCTCTCCCCACAGAGGCCTGCCCCTCGAGGTGCTTTGTGAATGAATATGGGGCACCCCCTCCCAATCCACAAGTGCCCAGTGCTTCCAAAGTCGGTTTCCTCCCAGCTGCCGTGAGCGGGATGCTGTTCTGTGCAGGTGTGAATGGAGCAGAGGCTTGCAGAGCTCCTGGAGACCCACAGAGCCAGAGTTGGCGACAACAGCCACTTTGCATCCCGACGCGGTGGGGGACCTCCCCTTGCAACACAAAGGGCAGTTAGAGAGACCCACTCCCTAGCCCCACTTCCAGCTCTTCAGAGCCGCACAGTGGCCCTGTAACCCGCTGGAGCTGCCTGCCGGACTGTGGACACAGTTGCAATTCCACTTCCCGCCCAGTGACACTGTCCTGCAGGGGGACTCCCGAGCTTCAAATGCTTTCAACAGCGTCGCGAACGCTGCCCACCACTGGCCACTAGATGGCAGTGTTGCCTCTTTCCCAAACTTGGTAGCCACCGGCTGTAAGTTCTTAACTAGCCAGAAGCCCAAATGCCACAACCCAGAGCCACAAGCCAGCACAGCTGGGCCCTCCTCTCTCCGGGCCACTCAGAGCCCTGACTGCGTGAAGCTTCTCCCCACGCAGGCTCCTCCTAGCCACCACGCAGAGCTGGCCAAGCAGGAATGGGCCACTCGTTGGGGGCCCCCACTGTAGTCCCCCAGATGGGCCTCCACAGGGGCTCTTCGGTTCAGTTTTGGAGCCTAGATCTCAAACCTCCCTTAATGTAGCGCCCTGATGCCTAAATCATTTATTTGGTGACCATGATTTTTTTATGTTGTCAAAAATAAAAACTCAGTTTTTCTTACCCATGAGTAAAATAGTACAACAAAGCTACTAGGAAATTCTAGTTATATAGTGTTATCATTTCTTTAAAAAAAAATAGAAAAGTCACTGTTAGGGTGTGTGGCAGATGGACTGAGCGCTGGACAGATAGATGTACAGTGGCTTTCCTCAAAGATTCAAAGGGACTTTGGAAAGAACGGAGACTGAGAAGGGATCCAGAGAGATGATTCTCTGTGCAAGAGCCACCAAACACGCACACACCGGGTGATGTCTAGAGCCAGGCCAGGAGGACAGACCAAGAGAGTGTGTGTGAGCAGAGCCCAGAACTCGCCTCCTGGCCCCAGGAACTGGCCTCGGTGGCCAGGAGCTCGCAGTAGGACCCCGCGCCCACTTGGCTCAGCCGTGTCTTGGGATCGTTGGGCCTTCCTGAGCGCTGGCCTTTCTGAACACTTTATCATGCTTTCACTCGAAAGCCATCTTCATGAGAAGGGCACATGTTAAAAAGACCCCGACAACAAGAGCAGACAAGGATGAGGAGAGAGAGGGTGAGGAGAGAGAGGCACCCACCTCGCGTGGTGGGGATGTGAGCCAGTGGCGGCCGCTCTGGAAAGCCATCTGGATTTACCTTCAGATCTGGAAATGGAAATCCCGTACTATCCCCGGACTCTGGAACCATCAGCTCAAAGTCACATGCCCCACCTTGTTTGCCATGACACTGCTTAGAACAGCCAGGCTGTAGAAACCACCTGGTGCCCACTGACAGGGCCGGGGCGGGAAGGCGTGGCCTATCCTCACGGCAGAACGAGCCTCGGCCATAAGGAAAGATGAACTTCAGCCAAGACCTCAGGCCGGGCTGCTGCCGCATCAGCTAAACCTCTGAATCGTGGAGTGATGACTAAAAAGAGCAATAACAATGAGGCTAACCAGGTCGGCCTTAGACTGGAGGGGGCAGTCGCATGGATCCCCCCCCCAGGACTCGGTGTTCACCACACACACCCACCCCCCATCAGTGTATTAGCGAACAAACACATGGGTGCTTCTGTCCCTCCAAACTAAACATCCCCTCTTGCACAAACCCCAGTGGATCCCCAGAAAAACATTTCCTATCTCTCATTTTCTATCCTAGTCCTTGAGAGGGAGGCCCCTGTGCCCCACACTGAGAAGGCGGGGTTCTGGTGCCCCATCAGACAGGGCCACTGCAGCAGAGCACATGAGGTGTCTCAGCGGCCAGGAGAGGAGGTGAGTGGGGAGGCGCACCCCTTTTGTTGTCTAGGCCTCCCTCTCCCCAGGCAGCGGCAGTCCCATGATTCCTGCAGGACTGGCTTGGGGTGGGGGGACCCGACATGGCCCCGCAGGGCCCCAGTCTCTGAGAACTGCCTTGGCTCTGCTGTGTGGCTGAGGACAGCAGGCTTGAGGAAACCACACCCAGCGCTTCCCACCCCGATTCGACTTTACCCTTCCAGGGCACACCCGTGAGGTCAGAGCAGCCTGGGCTGGTTTATGGGAACCCAGACTGGCGCTGCTCCCTCCTGGAGCACCCCTCATGCTGGGCCGCCAGAGCTCAATCGGAGTCTGGTGAATATGTCCATTTTAATTGAAAGGCAGTTC